AATTAAAAATCAGATACTAGAAGCTTTCTATATTATAAATCCAGTATAGAAAGTAGTTAGTAGTATTTCTAACTATTAGTCCAGAAAAATTTAAAATATATAAATTTTTATTATCTGATTTTATTTTATATAGAGTAATATATTAAGTAGATATCTCTGCTATTTATTTTATAGATATAGATATTACTATTTTAAAATTATCTTTTAAATCTGATTTCTTATTATATTTATTATTACTTCTTCTGTAGAACTAGATATCTAAGATATACAGAATCCAATTTACTAGGTATAATTTAGGATTAATATATTAATATTTTAATAATTTATAGTTTTTTAATTTATAATATTTATAATTATTATTAGTATTTATTAATTTTTTTTATATCTTTACAGCGTGGTCTTTAGCAGAAATATCTTTTTCCGGGAAAATAGCTGTCTTTTATTAATTTTTAATAATATCAGACTTGTTAAACAGATTCTAATTCTTATTTTTATTAATAATAGTAATACTGAACTCTTTTATTTCAGATCTTTTATATTTTTTTAAAATACTTTTATACAGATCACGGAATTGCTCTTTTATATAGATTTAATCTGTATTTCCAGATATTGAGTGTTCCACAGTTGATATTTATATAAAAAATTCTAACTGTAGCTTGTATATTATCAGAAGACTTATTATAAATAGAAAAATTAAATAATTAAGCTTTACAGCTATATTATATACCTCTATAAAATTATTAATATATTAATATATAATAGAGTAATCAGAACGTGTGCTTCTTATTAATTTTATAACTATTAATTAATATTCTATAATATTATAGCCTAGTATAATAGAGCAAATTAATTTAAATATATTATTAATATATTTTTTATTTTTTTTATATTTTTTAAATTATCTTTCTACTTCTTCTTCCAGCTGCCCGATAAGATAGTCAGTTACTGCTATTAAATAATTATACCACGCTGTATATTTTATATATATAATAGCAGGTCTGGGTAGCTTCAGATTAATCAGATTTTCTAAACTAGTATTTTTAAATATATATTTTAAATAAAATTCTTAGTTAATGTAATTGAAGCGTTCCTTCAGCAAAATCAATAATCTAGATAGACTTTTCAGAGAAGTTATTAGCAGCTAGTTTACTTAAATAATTATCTTTATAAAAATTATCTAAATTAAAAATATCTTTTTAAATATAATACTTCGTCCCACCGTGTATACTATGGCGCCAAATTAATATATTTAGTACGGATAGATCCGATGAATAGTATATTTCTTAATACAAAGAAATATTTTTATTAAATATTATAATTACTAAGACTGATGTGTTTTTATTTATTATCTTTGGTAGCCGTAAGCCTTCCGTCTTGTTTGGAGTCAAAGACTGTATTCTAGTAAGTCTGAATAGCTTTATGGTAGAGAGACCGGGCTCATAACCTGTTCAAATTATAGATGGAAGAAACAAACGCAAAGAATGCAGCGAAAGTGTGTTATATTGTTATCTAGGAATGCGCAGCGCAACCAGCGCGAAGAGGCGCTTGGTGGGCGGCCTGAGCGCGGCCACGTGACCGAGCCTACAGAGTTACTGCCTCAACATTTACTATCCTTTTATATTTATGTATATTTTCTTTTTATTATTATGATATAAATTGCCATTCCTCGATCTATCCAAAGGGGTTAGATTTGGCCGACCGTCGCGATGACTACTCTCACGCACCCCTCTCTTAACCTCGGTCCCGTTCAATCACCATCCTTGTACAATGGTCTCTCATCGACTCCAGGCGTACCCATGGCTGCATGGACCGGTATTTCCGGTGACACGTGGTACGGCTTTGACAAGGGTGGTCCCGACCCAATCAAAATAAGCAAGGAGTGGATCAAAGATCACATCCAGATCGGGCCTCTGGGGTCCGTATATCCCGCCGGACTATCATTCAGGCCACGAACGATAAGCCTCTGGGCGGCGGCGGCGGCGGCACTGAAGCAATTGCGGCTGGACAGACACTGCTCACGCTAGGGAATACAGGTGACTTCTAGGGTTGAGGGCGGCAGAGAATAATGATTCGCAGGCTATATGGGCTAAGGTTGATCGCGCGACATTAGCGTTATAGAGTTCCTACAAAAAAAAATAAAAATAAAAAAAATAAAACAGAAGAAGTAGTAGGAAATGGAACCGAATTGGGAAAGGAAAACGAAGAAACCATATTGAGATTAGATAGTTTAGTCAACCAGAGCCCTTCATCACTAAGACCTGCTCATCGCTTTCCCGACACTGGTCCGCCTTGGCTTTTAGATAGGGACTCATCTCGACGTCGGGCTCAGGAGTTGCAGTGATACGACCGGCGGAACTTCGCCTTGATTTCTGGTGGACGTATCGGGATCGAATCGATGTCATTCGCCCACGGTTGATGGCGAGACGCAATAGAGGCCGATAACACGGTAAACACGCAGCAATGAGATATACGCCCACTTCGGCCACGCTCCAAACGAGAAAGGTGACGGAAAGCCAGGTGCCGTCGGTTAAGGGATTGTTGGTGAAGAATGCGACGCATCGACAAATGGACGTTACCATGCCACTGGAACTCGGGTTAGTCATGGCTGGAGAATTTTAGACCAGAGAAACAAAGGCAGTGGCTTACATGCTACCAGTCAGGAAAGTCACTGCGAGACCGTATTTGACTTGTGCTGGAACCTGCAGCTTCCAGACCACAGGCTGCGGCAGGATAAGCATCGCGACGTCGATGATGACGTTCGGTAAAGTGCCCCAGCGATAGAACATGGGAATGTTGTCACATTTACCACCGACGATAGTCTTATCCCAGAGATACGCCACCGGCCAGCATTCAAAGGCCCCAGCCATGATATCAGCGATGGCAAAGACCACGATAAAGGCCATCAAGCTGTAGCAGGCCAAACGATAGCGACGATTTTTCTCACAGATGCGGAGGTAGAGCGTGAGGAGGACAACACGCGGAAAGCAACACCCGGCTGAGTAGATGATCGGAGTGGCATAGAGACACTTGGCCCAGGGAACCAGGGCTTGAGGGTCTATCACTTCTACAACATCAAGATGATAGCCGACTCGACCGATATCTATGCTCACTAGGTAGGTCATAAAGAGAAATTAGGGGAAGCGATCCCTTGAAAAGTCGGAGGAAACATCAACACCTTGACTTACCTAGGGAAAGGATACAAAGACCCACAGAACATAAGTATCCGGGAATCGTGAGAATATCATCAATGCTCAGGGGTTTCTCGCTTAACCTCAAGGCTACGAAGCGTAGTGTGACCGCCAGCGTGACCAGCACGATAAACGCGATGGATACATCCCGAAGTGTGTCGCCAGAATATTCCAGCATGCGCTCAGGACTGATGGAGGCAGCCATTGCGTGCTTTGGCTTTGTCTTGTGTGTTTCGCGTTTAGGTTAGATACTGCTTGGTGAGTAAAAGATAGACTTGGGACATAGGCAAATGACACGCTTAGGTGGGGTAACAGGGAATAGCCAGCATCCTCCAGGAGCATTGCTCATTCTTAAACTACTCTACATACTGGGGAAGACCAGAGGGTGCGTGTGCTTTAGCATGATTAGCAGGGGTGGTGATAGTAGGACTTGGGGGAGTGCGGCGCAGACCAAATTGCTTAGAACATGGGGGCGGGAACGGGACATGGGGGCAGGAACAGGTTGGCGTAAAGGATGGGAGGGGAACTTGTAGTCAAGCCAAGGGAAGTAATAAAGACCATCCTGGGCCGGGTGCTGACATGCGAAGGCGGCTAATTGCTCGATTGCACCCAGACTGTGCAAAGGGTGCTAAATTAGTCTCATTCCTAAAGGGGTAAAGATGTCGGATCACCGCCTGTTTTGTATGTAAGAAAAAAAGAGTCAACAAGAGAAAAAGAAAGGAAAAAAAAGGAAACAAAGAAAACCAGAAAAAACCCCTTGTGAAACCTCTTGATCAACTTGCTGTATTTTCCGCACTTCCGCCTTCCCCCGCGCCTCGATGGTGCTGTCCACTTCATTAATTACGCTCTTCCTCGCTCTCTCTAGAGCCGCTTCTCTTCCTCCATGACACGCCCGCAATCCTATCCAATTTTCTTTTCACACCACTACCATGTCCAGCGAAAATTTCACTATCACCGAGCATGTCGTCCCGGGTTGTCACATTCGAGAGTATCCCGGAAGCACCGTCAATCAGGAGGATGTTTTGCACCTACATGTTAAACAGTGCACCCCCAGAAACCAAGCCCAGCCAGTGCCGAAAGATGCCGTCACAATCATTGCCGCTCATGGAGCAGCTCTGCCCAAGGTAGTTCCATTCCTGTCTAACCAAGTGTAACCATTGCTATGTGTCATTCTTCGAGGCTGATACCTGATGGTCAGGAATTGTATGAACCGCTGTGGGACACACTGTTGGAGCAGGCCAACAATTTTCAGATCCGTAGCATCTGGGTCGCCGATTGCGCCAGTATGAACATAAGCGGAATTCTAAATGAAGACAAACTCAGCATGGACTGTAAGCTACTTACCCTATTATATACCCGCCTCAACCAATGGCTAATGAAGAGTCAGGTTCCTGGATGGATCATTCTCGGGATCTCTTCCTGATGATCAACCACTTACGAGAGCAAATGCCTCGTCCGATCGTGGGAGTCGGACACAGCTTTGGTGGAAATATCATGTGCGATCATCCCCCCCCCCCCCCCCCCACACTTCCCTCTCTCCTCATCTCTTTTCATACAGACAACATTGATTGACTTCTTGCTCGTCATTTCTTTCTTTGTTTTAACAGTACCAATCTGGCGTATCTTCACCCGCGACTCTTCACCACATTGTTACTGATTGACCCTGTAATCCAATTGACACCCCCGCCCATGGGGTTCGGCACCGACGCTACCGGGGCGATCAACTATACCCTTTATCGCAAGGATGTCTGGCCCAGCCGCGAGGTGGCTCTCCGTGCCAATCGCGCTTTGACTCATGGCTGGGACCCCCGCTGCGTGGCTCGCATGGCGCAATACGGGTTCCGCGATCTGCCCACCGCGCTGTATCCGGACGTGGATGCAGTGAAGGCGGAATTTCAAAGCACTACATCATCTACTTCTCAGCCTCCAGCACAATCACACGATGCCACGACCAACAATACAACCCCAGTGACTCTGACAACAACCAAGTATCACGACCTCCTCGCCCAGATCCGCGAGAACTTCAGCGCCCGGTCCCCGGAGACGGGCCGGATCTCCATCCCACGGGCCACCCACGCGGATCTCGACCCGCTCGCCGCGTTTATCCCGATGTATCGCCCCGAGCCCCGGAGCGTCTTCCTTCGGCTGCCAACTCTACGACCATCGTGTCTGTGGGTGCTGGGGGGTGCAACCTTTCTCAAGCTTGACGAGATGCGCGAGGGGATCAAGACCTGCGGCACCGGGGTGGGAGGGAGTGGGGGCATCCCCGATGGGAGGGTCCGGGAGGTGACGCTAGCAGGGCTGGGCCATCTGATGCCGTTTCAGGCGGTTCAACAGGTTGCAGAGCCCTGTGTGGCGTGGCTGGAGTCTGAGATGACACGTTTTCGCGAGGCCGAGAGGCTATGGGCGGAGGAGCAAAAGGGACGCAGTCATCTCACCTTAGAGGAGACGTGGTATCGAGTTTTGAAGCCTTCAGCCGTTACAGGTGGGAAAGGGGAAGCCCGGAAAGCCAGGAAGGACAAGCTGTAACTAGTAGGAAAGGCTCCTCTCTGATGTGGAGCCTGTGCTATATCATTCAGTCCGTGGGACTCCGTGCGTTCTGATAAATTTTGATCATTGTTCGGGCTCCAGGGCTCCCGGCAGCACCTGTTTTCCTATCACCTTAGTAATTGAAAACTACGTACTCGTAGCTACGGGGGCATGGCTGACGGAGGCATGGAGCTGATTTGTCATTGAAGCGGAAGGAACAGGGAAGATTGAGCTAAGTCTAACCATCCTCCGTCAAGGCAGACTCAAGGCCACTCGACAATCAGTGACTAGGAAACCTCAGTCAGGGTCGCCTAATTTCTAAAATGCGACGGCGGCACCCCCCCTCGGCCCCCACCTTTTACTCCCCCGTCTCCTCCCTGCCTCCTGCGCCGCTCTACAAACTGCTACATTGATCCCAGCGCTAAAATGGCAGTAATATATACTACACTGTCAGCTTTGCACTGCAAATGGCATGCAAGAAATTCCCGAATTAGACTTCTACCTATCTCGCTTGCCTACCTGCTCACCTGATTTGTTAAAAATGGGGCCATTGAGAGGCATTCAAACTGTAATTATATAACTGTACAAATATGGCCCCCTTATATAGTAATAATGATGAAAAATATAGTATCAGTTGACTAAGCCTGCGAGCGCTGCCTGTGTTACTACCTAAGAATCCACCAAAGGTCAAGAATTACGGGCGTAGGAAGCAGTGGAGGATATATATATATGAACTAATCAGATGCGTTGTCGAATCTTATAAAGGTGCTTCGCGAAGGCAGAGGCAAGATATTATTGTATTTTTTAAAGAATCAGTAAACCGTGCGCGCGTGGCTCTGCCTCGCTATCTCACTAGCGCTAGGTCTTAGGGGGGCAAATCTAGCAAGAAGATAATGAGATTTTTAATTTATATTTATTTATTTTCATTGATTTATTCTTTCCTTCTTCACGTACTACTCCGGTGGAGAAATGAATATCTTTACCAAAAGAGGCAAGGGACCATCTAAAGCACTTGGCGCAGTTGGGGGCGGGGGCCAATCGAGAGATTCATTAGGCGGGGAAGGGTTTGAACCCTGATGAACTGAACCCGCGAGTTTCTGTCGGCAACTCCCGGTAAGAAGAAAGCCCTAAAGCATACCTCGACTAAACTACTAGCTCTGATTCAGAAAGCACCAAACCCCCCGACGCTCAATAAATCAAATCAGATGACATAGAACCGTAATACTTTTGTACTTATCTATCCAGACTAGTAACAATTTAGTACGCTGGTTCCACCGCCCCCTCTTCATTCCCGCTTCCGAAATTCCAATATGGGGCCTTCCTTGCCCACGATGAAATTATCCTTCATTTTGTACTCGCCCTCTCGCCCGACTCCGAGATGCTCCATCCCGGGGGCCAATCGCAGATCATACAACCACAGCACACGCGCGACGCTGACCTCCAGCTCGAGCATAGCCACGTTGCGACCAATGCACGCGCGAGGCCCGAGGCTGAACGGCACAAAAGCGGCGCGTTGGCGGGCCATGACCTCGGGCGAGACCCCAACACCCTCGTCGGCGGCCTCGGTCCCGCGCAGCATCCACCGATTGGGGTCATACTCGTAAGGGCGGTCAAAATGTTCCGGGGAGTGATGCAGAGAGTAGGTCGGGACCCCCACGATAGTTCCGGCGGGGAACTCCCATTCCAGCACCTGCAGACCCCCCGGGAGCACCTCGCGCGGCAGATCCATGGGCACCGGGGGGCACAGCCGCATGCTTTCCTCGATACAGGCCCGGAGATATCCCATCTTCCCACTGGAGAGGGCGGGTCCGGAGACGATGGATTCCAGCGAGGCGAAGTGTGCCCGGATCAGGTTCGTCAGGCGCTGGCGGATGGCGGGGTGGTGCGCGAGAAAGAACCATGTCGAGGCCAGCGCTGTATTGGCTGTCTCGGCCCCTGAATGGTGGTGAGAAAAGATAGTCAGTCAGTCAACAGTACTAGTGTAGAAGTATAGCGGCTGGAGGTGAAGAAAGGATAGGAGAATCCCAAACTTACCCGCGCCTAACAGTAAGGTCGATTCGCTGATCAATTCCTGCGTGGAATATCCTTCCCCGGTTTCCGGGTCGCGGGCCTGTTGCAAATAGTAGATGATGTCTCGCCGCTCCGTGGGATTAGCCGCCAATCGCGTACTCAATTGTTGGCGAGAGAAAGCGATCTGACGCTCCCGGTCGCCGGCAGTCCCCATTCGCAGGTACTGATCGAAGCCAATGCGACGGAGCAGGGGCATCTGGCCACAAATATTCAAGATGCGTACGTTGACAGCCATCAAGCGGAAGAAGAAGGTATTCTCGTCACTCCGGGTGGTGTTGAATGTCTTTCCAAAGCAGATCTCCCCAAGGGCATCGAAGATCAGGCACGCGCTCCAGTGCACCATGTCTTTGGGGCGCGACCAGCCGCCGCCACTGCTGCTGCTGCTGGCCTGACTCTGCTTGCCTTGACTCTGGTTGGAATGCTCGTCTCCCAACGCCAGACACCAGTCGCGGATGGCGGACAGAATGTGCGGCTCCATACCCCGCAGAGCGTGGTCGGAGAATGCCTGGGACATCACCCGGCGCTTGCGCGCGTGTACGTTGCGGTCAATGGCGTTGAAGATACTTACGCTGTAGAAACTGTGGTACCATTGCGACTTCTGCACGTTGGCTTGATGGCCATAGATGGGCTCAAGAGCTCGCGCATCGAGGATAGTCACGCGGTTAGGTCCAATGCGGACGATTCGGCCATGGCGTTGATGCAGTTTATACAAATCCTCATGTCGGTCGCCACGCATGGCGTGTACCACCGAGTATAGGTTGGTCAATTTGGCCAAGAAAGGACCGGGATAGGCTGCTAAGGGATGGAACTGGACTTGATACACCACATAACTCAGGCCCTATAGATATGTGTGAGCACGGAGGCCATCTCATAGCAACAAGAGGAATATTAGAGAATGAAGTGCAGCGGATAACCCACAGCAGCAGAGAGAATGGCAAATAAAAGCTTGCCGAGCGAGATGGTGCCCAACACCAATTGGATGAAGTTGTCAAGCATACTGCAAAACGAATCCTACTGACAAATTGACAAAGTGACAATGGTGCAATGTGTCTGAGGATCTAGAAGGCAGGGACAGTGAATTTAAAACCCGGAAATTATTTTTGTGTCCACAACGTCCCTTGGCCCCCACTGCCCTCACCTAGCACTTCTATCCAGGCGCCGGAGATATCCTGTCAGACACCGTATTTCTAATCGATCGATTCCCCGGCCTCTCTCGTGTACATCACCCCCAAATCTTGATTCTCTATTGTTCTTACTTTCTTGAGCTCACATTACCCAGAACAATCCCTGTCCGTCGAAAAGCGATCCATTTTATCTCATCGTGAATCACCACCATGCATTTTCTCTGCTTGCACGGATTAGGGACCAACAGCCGGGTAAGTTCGTTCGAGTCTGGCCGAGTATAGAGAATTCGACTCTGACTTCTCTATGGCAAAGATCCTTCAAGTTCAGACTGGTCAGTAAAACCCAGTTGCACACTTGTAGTTGTGCCCGGTGCAAGCAAGATGGAAAGCCCTAACAACATTGCGAACCTTTAGCAAGCCTACGACATGAACTCGGCGATTCTCATACATTCGACTACGTCGAAGGCACCCTTCCCTGCCCTATTGATCCTGGTATATAGTCTATGTTATTGATCATTGCATTTGAACAAGGCCGACTGACCGGCTGAATGCCAACACAGCCATTGCCCCCTATTTTCCGGAGGAAAGCGACGAAGGGTATGCGTACTTTGACCCCAGCCAACCAGCGACCTACGCGACGGCCCTGGAGCAGCTCGAAGATTTCCTCGTAGCTGAGGGACCCTTTGATGGCATTCTGGCCTTTTCGCACGGAGCTCAATTGGCTGCTTCATTTCTGATTGAGCGGGCTCGGTCTGCGGCCTCTTCCTCCCCGGCGGGAGCGCGCAGCATCCGATGCGCGATTTTTCTCTCCGGAGGAATTCCTTATCAGTGGTCATCATCACCAACAGCGGCCGCACTGCCTGATGTGGGCAAGTTGACACCCATCGCCGAGGCGGAAAGGGAAGGAACCGCAACCCCGTCAGCACTACCGGTCTTGTTGCAGCTGCCCACCGCACACATATGGGGCCAAAATGACACCAGCTACCCAGGCACCAGTGTGGTCCTGAGCCGGCTTTGCAAGCCGGAGTGGCGGGCAGTGTTCGTGCATGACGGAGGACATGAGGTCCCTGGTTCGAGGTCACGGGCGTCTCTGTTGGGGGCTCTGGGGGCCATTCGCCAAACGATTCACTTGGCTGTCTCACTGCATTAGAGTGGGGACTGAGGAATGGGTGCTGAAGAAAAAGCCCGTGCCTATTGGTGGGGCAATAAAAGCTCCCTGTTCGGGTAATGGTGAATAAATAGTTTGATCGGTTAAGTTCTCGATGAGGCCATACACTTGTCTTTTGTAGTTAGTCTTGTTTGCCCTCGCAGGGGATCGGAGATTAGTTTGGGGGCGAAACTGTTCCTGACCCACTCCCACCCAATAAATGCTGGTTCGTTTGGCATCGGCCCCTCACGCTAAGAACCATCTTGCACCTCTTGGCAGCTTGCAAGCTTGGACGCAATGCCCGTAGACTTGTTGCTCCTGCCGGAGTGTTAGGGTTGGCTGGGTGTGAAGGATATGTGCGTGGCAGTTGTGGCAATTACATGGTAAGGACAATTATCTACAGTATGTCGAGAGTCCAATAAAAGAGGACGCTGAAGGGTATCAGCGTCAGATCATATAAAAACCAACCCTGGTGCACATACACGACTGCTAGATGTGAGTGTCTCTCTTTTTGTTTGGATAATTCCCCCAATTCCACTCCTTCCCCGACCATCGCTGCACCACAATGGCTTTCGATAATTCGCACAACGACAAGGACTGCCTTGAGCCCATCGCGATCGTAGGCCTATCACTCCGGTTCCCGGCTGGAGCCACAGATTTAGATCGTTTTTTCAATTTGATCACAGAGGCCCGTTGCGTGTCGCAAGCATTCCCCTCTGACCGTCTGGATGTTACGGGCGCCTACTGGCCCAAGGCTGCAGCCGCAGTCCCGACGGTGAGCGGAGGACATTTCTTAGCTGAAGATATCACTGCATTCGATGCACCCTTCTTTGGCATCTCAGCCGTGGAGGCAGCCTCCATGGACCCCCAGCAGCGACTGCTCCTGGAAACCAGCTACGTTGCCTTGGAAAACGGTAGGCGGAAACAGCCCTCGAGCCCCCATTCCTTCGTGTTCGGGATGATAATTGTGTGTCCCTTGATGTAGCCGGGATTCCCATCGAGAAGATTACGGGGTCCAACGCCTCCGTCTATGTCGGCTGCTTCACCGATGACTACAAGGAACTTTACCGGAAAGACGTGCGCGACAGCGCACCCTATGCAGCCACGGGGATCACCACCACGCTGAACGCGAACCGCGTGAGCTGGTTCTACAACTTCATGGGCCCCAGTATCAACGTGGACACCGCCTGCTCCAGTAGCCTGGTCGCCCTGGACTTAGCCTGTCAGGCGCTGCGCGCAGGCCAGACTGATATGGTAAGTTTCGCCTCCCAGAGAGAATTGTTTCCTCTGGACCTTCTGTGAGAGAGAAGTGTGTGGGTTTTTGTGCGGCTAACGAACGGACTCGGTACAAAAGTGCCTGGCTGGAGGAGCTAATCTGATTCTGGCCCCTGATCTGTTCCATATCCTGTCAGAGATGAGCATGCTTTCCCCCGACAGCCGCAGCTATAGCTTCGATGCTCGAGGTAATGGGTACGGGCGCGGGGAAGGGGTAGCCATGTTGGTCCTTAAACGGATGAGCTGTGCGCTGCGGGATGGCGATACCATCCGCGCCGTGGTGCGCTCCACTGCGTGCAACCAGAACGGGTACACCCCTGGAATCACCCAGCCAAGTATGAGCGCTCAGGAGGCCCTTATCAATGAGTGCTACGCGCGTGCTGGACTGGATAAGGCCCGTACGGGGTACGTGGAGGCGCACGGCACGGGAACCCCAGCCGGCGATCCCATTGAGGCGGAGGCTCTAGGCGCGAGCTTTCGAGATAGCCGGCGCCCGGGTGAGAGGCTTTATGTGTATGTTTCTGTTCCCACTCGGCTCTTCCGCACCCTTTCTAACGAAGCATGCATTCTCTGTTTCTAGGGGCTCCGTCAAAGCCAATATCGGCCATTTGGAGGGATCCAGCGGAATCGCGGGGGTGATCAAAGCGGTTGCCATGCTGGAGCGAGGGTGGATCCCCGCTATTGCCGATTTGCAGAGCGTCAACTCGATGATCGATGAGGCTGCGTTACGTCTTCAGGTTGGGGAGCATTACCCATGTTCGTGTGGCGTACAGCTGACGCTCTCTTCCGTACTCTATAGTTCCCTCGGTCAGGGATCCCTTGGCCTCGTCCCGGTCTTCGACGAATTTCCGTCAATTCGTTTGGATTCGGTGGCTCCAACGCCCACGCGGTGTTGGATGATGCGTATCACTTCTTACTGGAGCACCAGTTGGACGGCGTGGCATATCGACCGCGCACGGATTCTTCCACCCCTCAGGAAGAGATCATCCCCGTCTACGTCTTGCGCGACCAACGGTCCAACAGTGAGCCACCACTACTACCATCATCGTCTTCAGTTACTCCTACCGCAGCAGCAGGAGTGCAGCAAAAGCGTGTCCGGCTCCTGCCACTATCGTCGTCAGATAAAGCAGGTATCACTCGAACAGTCACAAGCCTGACCGAATATTTTCAGTCCCGCGGCGGCGGTACGGCGGAGGCGGCGACTCCCCCATCAGTCGAATTCTCCGATGCACTGGCATACACGCTCGCCCAACGCCGGACCTTTCTCCCTTGGCGCGCCTGTGCAGTCGTCCCCTCAGACATGCCGCTGCACGAGTTGCGAACGATGGTTTCGCCTGCGGTGAAGTCGCCAAAGACACCGCCCAAGATCGCGTTCGTATTCACCGGCCAGGGTGCGCAGTGGGCGCAAATGGGCGCCGACCTTTGTGTATACTCCGTCTTTCGTCGGCGCTTAGAAGAGGCGGATGGGGATCTGCGCGCTTTTGGTTGCGATTGGAGACTTTTAGGTGAGCATCTCTCATTCCCCCACCCCCTGCCGGTCCGTTATCACAGTCGAGCTGCTTGATAACCGTATCCTCTCTGATAGATGAACTGGCAAAGCCGGCAGAGACAAGTCGGATCAACGAGCCTCGGATTAGCCAGGTCCTTTGCACGGTCGTCCAAATCGCTTTAGTGGACCTGCTCAATACCTTTGGTATCATGTGCAGCGTGGTCATTGGACACTCGTCGGGAGAAATTGCTGCAGCGTAAGCGAAACATTCCCTCCCTCCTCTTGGAAAGTTGGGTGCTGAAATGGAGGAAAATATCACAGGTACTGCTGTGGCGCCATATCCGCGCGCAGCGCTTGGCGGATTGCGTTTCTGCGGGGCACGCTGGTGTCTGCTACACTGCAAGGATCAACAACTTCCGGTGCAATGCTGGCAGTCGGGCTCTCTGCGGCAGACGCTGCATCCTACCTGGATGGATCCGATGCAGGGGAGGACAAGATGGGATCCCGTCAGGTCAGCATCGCGTGCTTCAACAGCCCGAATAACGTGACTCTGTCGGGGGATGAGGCGGCCATCGACGCGCTGAAGGCCAAATTCGACGCTGCGGGGATCTTCGCCCGCAAGCTGTCCACTGGCGTGGCCTACCATTCCAACCATCTGCATTCGGTGGCGGATGCGTACGCGAGAGCAATCGGGGAGATCGAGCCCGGGGAACACGGAAGGGAGCAGGGCCTACTGCAGCGCACCGACGCCTCGGTCGTCATGGTCTCGACCGTCTCGGGCCAGCGAGTCCCCGCCGAGATGCTGCGCCAGGGTAGCTACTGGGCAAGCAACTTGGTACGACCCGTGCGCTTCCTCCAGGCCTTTCAAAGCCTTTTGAGCAAGCGCGGGGTCGTGAAGAAGCTCGACGGAAGCCACCGACTCCTGATGGATATCAACACCTGCGTGGAGATTGGACCCCACGGGGCCCTGCGCGGGCCGATCAAAGAGATCCTTCAGGCTCAGGACCATCCCATGACCTACCTCGCTACCTTGCAGCGGGCCCAGCCAGGGGCTGACGCCCTCCTCCGCTCAGTGGGTCATCTGTGGTGCCTGGGATTATCGATCAACTGGAACCGGGTGAACCACGAGCCCCACTTCTCCGAGACAGATTCAGACGAGAGGGAAGGAGTAACGGTAGTGTCTCCTGCGCTTGTCTCGCTGGCCGACCTTCCCCCATATGCCTGGGAGCATTCGCGGCGGTTCTTCCATGAGAGTCGGACAAGCAGGAACCATCGGCTCCGCAGCAAGCCCCGATCCAAGTTGCTCGGGGAGGCTGCGGTGGACTGGAACGCCCTGGAGGCGCGTTGGGGCAACTTCCTGAAGCGCTCCGAGCATCCCTGGATCGAAGATCATCAGATTAATGGAACGATCCTCTTCCCCGCCGCCGGCATGATGGCGATGGCCGTCGAGGCCATGCAGCAGCAGGTCCAGCTCGCCGGAGCAGCCTCCATCAACCGGCCGATCCTCGGCTACGAGCTCCGCGACATTCACCTGAGCACAGCGCTGGTGATCCCCGACCACGAGCGGGGTGTGGAAGTCCAATTCATCCTGCGCCGGCAGCAGCAGCAGCAACCGGGGGCCGGAGCCGGCGGCGGCAGTCGAGACGGTGGCTGGTGGTCGGATTTCCGGCTATGCGCATATCTGGAGGGTGAATGGGAAGAAATCTGCACAGGGAGTATCCGGGTCGATTTCGGGGTCGCCGAGTCTGGCATTGGGACCCAGCGCGTCGCGCAGGCCCGCCTGCGAAGCCTGCAGGACCGGCACGCTTCCCTGCAGCAGCAGCAGCAGCATCAGTGGGAGGAGCGAGGAGAGCATCATGGTTTGGAGATCGCGGCCTTCTATGAAAGCCTTGCCCAACATGGACTGGAATTCGGGCCCGCCTTCCGCACTCTTGTCGAGGCGCAGTGGGCCGGCGGCCGGGATTGCCGCGCCGTTGTCAAGGTCCATCATCCACAGGATGATGACGAAGTGAAATATGTTGTCCATCCGTGCACGCTCGATGCGCTGCTGCACATGCCCATGGTGGCGCTGACGCAGGATCCCGTACGCAGACGATCCACGGCCATCCCCTCCAGCATTCGACGGGTCTGGATAGCGTCTTCGGGCCTTGGATGGTCATCATCGGAGTTGTCATCGGAGTTGCAGACCGGGTCGGAGAACACCCTGGACGCGCTGGCAGAGATTGTGGCTACCGACCGT